TTTGAACCACCAGCCTTCTGGTTAGCAGTCAAGTGCCTTAGCCACTATTCTACCAGAGCTCCCTAAAATGACACTCATTAGTAATTGAAAAAACCAAACTCATTGCTGTGGAGTCATTTCTGACTCATAGTGACCCTTCCTTGGGTTTCCGAGGCAGTATCACTGTGGAAGTTGATTGCCAACTTTCCTTCTGAGGATTGGCTGGTAGGTTTGGACCACCAGCCTTCTGGTTAGCAGTCAAATGCCTTAGGCACTAGGGAAAAGTTCATTAAAACCACAGTAAGTTAATATTACATACCTACTATATTCACAAAAATGTAAAAATCTGCCAATAATAGCATTGATGAGAATGGAGATTAATGAGAATTTTTATACATTGTCAGTATCAGTATCAGTATGAGTATCAGTTGGTGTAACCACTTAGGAAACCAGTTTTATATTATCAGTTAAATATGGAGGTGTGCATGCACTAAAACCCTGCAGTTCCACATCTAGGTCTAAACTCTAGAGGTATTCTTGCACTTGTTACATATACAAAAATGTTTATAACATTCTTCATAATAACCCTTCAGTGGAGAAGACCCAAATATCCAACAGTAGAACTACAGCCATTAGTGCAATACTATACAGCAATGAAAATTAGATAATTGCAGCCTATAATGCAGTAGCCTAGATGAGGCTCACAAATACAATGCCAAGTGAAAGAAGCAAGTCACAAAAGGGTACATGTACCATTCCATATGGTTCAAAATCAGCAGAACTGTACTAATACTGTTTTGGATTGCATACACAGATAATTAAATGATAAAGAAACGACTGTCATAAAAATTCAAAGAAGTATTTTCTTCTAGGCTGAAGAAAGGCATTTGGGCAACTTCTAGAGTGCTGAAAATGTTCTGTCTCATGACCTCTTAACTTTTCATATATGTTTAAAATGCTCTTCCGTGGATATATCTCACAACTTAAAAAGCTTTAACAATTGCAACATTTAATAAATTAAAAGATTTCTACAGTCAGACCATAAAATGTATCTGGATATTGCTTTATAAAAAGTATTTAATATTCCTTATTCTGCTTAATAAGTAAAATCTTATACTTGAAAGTAATAAACTACATTTCTATAAAAATATTTAGCAAATAAATTGTTCACTAAATTAGTCTGCTTCTCTTACCCTACCTCTGTCCCTTCTTTAAGGAGCCCTGATGGCACAAGGGTTAAGAACTCAGCTGCTAACCCAGAGGAACCGAGTGGTTGAACCTGTGGGCTTGGGACCATAGTCACAGGGGATATCAAGCTTAACTGGCATAACATACTACACAAAACATTGTTCCACCTCCTACTTTGGCAAGTAGCAACTGGGGTCTTAAAAGTTTGCAAGCAGCCATCTAGGTGCAACGATGGGTCTCTCCTCGTCCAGAGAAAAGAAGAAAGAAGAAAACTAAAGATTCATGGAAACAAGTAGTCCTCGCGACTGGTACACCATGTGATCCGCAGCCTATATGACTATGAGAACAGAAAAACTAGATGGTGCCTGGCTACCACTGTCAACCACTCAGAGGGGAATCAATGTAGGAGATCCTGGGTAGAGAGGGAGAACAATGTGGAACAAAACTCAAAATTATTTGGAAAAAATAAAAGGAGGGGGACCAGGTTTGCTGGTCTGATAGAGCTTGGTGGAACCACTGAGACTATGGTCCCTAGCTGCCCTTCAGTTCTGAGATTGAACCCACACCTGTGGCTTCCAGCCAAACAAAAGACAGGCATATGAGTTGAACATTTACCTCAAGTAGATACACTCCTTGGAGAGAACAATCATGG